AAGGCCCCTCCTGCCATGCCAGGTAATATTCGGAATATGTTCCTGGGAGATATTGGCTTAGTCCAGTTGGACTGTAAGAAAATAATAAAGTGGGTAGTTTACAAATGACAGATATTAATTTCTCAGCATGGAGGTTGGGCAGCCCAAGGTGAATCCCAGGCAAATCCAATGGCTTCTGAAGGAGGACCTGCTTTCTGGGATGTGTCTGGCCCCATCTGGCTGTGTCCTATTATGGTGGGTGGAAGAGGCAGGGCAGGTCTTGGGGAATCCTTTATAAGGGCACTAATCCCATTGATGAGGTTCAGCTTTCATGATTAATCACTTCCCAAAGACCTTACTTCTAATGCCATCAAGCTGATGACTAGGGGGTACAAAGAAACCAGAGCAGACATGTTTAGGGGCCCGGTACCCTGCAGATACACATACCGAAAACCCATGAGCTATGTACTCACTACCTGTATGTCTATTGGTTGATAAATCATATCAGTAATAATAAAGAGCAAACATTAAGGGCTCCTAAGTTGGCTGCAGAGGCCCCATCCCCTTTGCCCACACCCTTTTACTGAATCCTCACACTCACCCTAGATCATGATTTATGGAAACTGAGACACAACCAAGTTGCTTAAAATCTCTCTTGTAGCTGGAAGAGGTAAAGCTCCCTTGAATCCAGGTCCATGCCCCACCCACTGAAGTTCCCTGTTGCAAAATCCAGGCAGGCGACCCAAAGGAGAAAGGAAGCGCTGGGGTGTAGGCACCAAAACTCCATCCTTGCTCTGCCCTAAGCAGATCAGCAAAATGAAAGAAGATGGCGAGAGCAGGCACAGTGGGAGTGACGGAAACCACAAACTGAAGAAGAGCTCTGATCGCCGAGGCCATGGAGCTCTGGCTCCACCCAACAGAGGACTCTGAAATCCAGACTTCCACACGAATACTCTCATAGGCAATGAATCTAAACTTTCTTAAGAGAATAGAGAAGCCAGGCTTTCCCACACACACACTCCCAGGTTGGCACCATGTGCTCCTTGCATAGCCTCACCCTGGGAGAGTGGCCTGGGGTACCCATGCGGAACCTGTCAGTGGGAAACAAAACTTCCCCCAGCATAAGGAACCTCAGATCCTCAAGTGTCCAGTATCCAGAGCCATGGTCATACACACCCAGGAACATGTAGTGCCATGCTCAGTTTGAGTTTCAAATGGCAATCCCAAACCCTAGGAAGAGAAACCATGGGCCACTTGTCAAATACTCCTCAGTAGGCTGGTACAGAGTGCTGCAGCTCACAGAGTCCAGCCCTTTCTGCTCCCCACATATTTGGGTTGAGGGAACCACCGGGCCTTAAGAGTGGTGTCCTCGTAGTTCATGTCAGTGTCCCCAGGGAATGTCATAGACAGTGTGCAGGACAGAGATGCAGCACATGTCCCAGGAACCATCAGGCCGTCACCATGCCACAAACCATTACCCTTCAAGTCTCAGTGTCCTGCTCCGTGGAGGAGGACAATGCCACCACCTTGTGACACTGGACTGTGAGTGCTAACCTGCAGCTTTAGGGACAGACAGGTTGACTCTGGGTGGAGCTCCCAGCTGTTTCCTCTTTCCTGCCTTTTGGTTATTCTTTCTACAGAGGACAGGGAAGTTCCAGCCATGGGAACCGATGCTGCCTTACTTCATACCCAGGCCCTGTCCAGGAGATGTGGGTGGGGGGCGTGACAAAGTGCTAAGCTTGCTCCTACCTCTCACCTCCTGCCTACCTGGATGCCCTGCTGCCCAGAGTCTGGAGACCCCAACTGCTTCTGGCCAGGGTGCTAGTCCTGTCTGGGTTTTATGTGTCCTTATCCTGCCCCAGGATCCTCAGCCTCCACCAGCTCCCAGAAACTGTCTGGCTTCCAAGCCCCAGGACCAATTCTTCCCAGCAAATCTCCCTGGCGACACTCAGGTTCAGGCCCTCATTCTTAGCTCCATCCTCTAAGTGGGGAAACAGAAACACAGGGAAGTTTAGGGGATGCTGAATTCTCACAGCAGATCACAGCACAGGCTTGAGCTGGGGGCTTCAACTGTTCCCATGATACCACCTTCCTCCCAGAGAAAATCCAGGTCAGGGACCCTGTCCTAGCAGACTGGAGTTACTTTGCCCTGATCACCCACATACACCCAGGTCCCCGAAGCCACACTTTATGGGTGTAACTTCTGACCTCAACCTTTGACGGCTCAAATGTCTTCTGCCTGAAATGAGGCTCCTCCTCAAAGGCAAGATGGGAATCCTACAGGTTTAGGGGGCACTTGGTTTGGGTCTCAAGCCCCACACAGGGGACAGGAACCTGGTTCCATAGCTGGCCTCCAGCTTTCCCACCTGAATCTCTGCCCGCAGCTTGAGTGCTGAATTCAGAGTTCAGTTGCCAAGTGTGGGGATATCTGGAGCTGGAAAGGTGGGGTGTCCTTGGGATGACCTCAGTCACAACAGGCTATGAGCCCCTAGAAGGATGGGCGAGGGGCATGTGGAGTGTAAGCAGGTGGAGGCCCATTTACAAATTCTCCAGCAAGTCCTGGGACAGGGGAAGGAAGGGCAGGTATACTGGGACACAAAGTCCTGACACTCCCGTGAGTCATAGGCTAGCAAGAGCTCATCGTAGTGTACAGTCTCCGTGTTTTAGGGCTGTGTTTGTGTTCTGCTGTTTATTTCAAGCTCATGACTGAGAATTTCTTAGAAAGTTGGGTTTCTTTTTTGCTTTTTGTTTTTTGTTTTCCTCCTTTCCTACCCTTACCTCAGGATTCTGGAGAAAAATCTTTAAAAAAAAAAAAAGAAAGAAAGAAAAAAGATTTATTTATTGTATTTTAAGTATTAGAATGTTTTGTCTGCATGTCTTGCATGCATCTCGTGCATACAGTGCCCTCAGAGGCAAGAAGAGGGCATCAGACCTGTGGAAGACACCCACAGGCATGAGCGAAAACCTGAGTAAAGGTGTGCTGTTGACATGGGCACCTCCTTGTCAAGGACCCTGACGCTCCCCACAACGTCGTGTCCAGGGCAGGGTGAGGCTCAGAGGGAAACGGTCTGTCTGTGGATGTTGAGAGTGTGTGCAGAAAATGTCCACCACAGCCTGCTCCCTCCACCCCAAAATTTATACCCTGGGAACTGCGCCCCTCCAGAACCTGGTTCTATGGAGCTTAGCTAGACTTGATTCCTTGATCAAGCTACAAACCACAAACCCTCCTCCTTGTTTATCTGTGTGTGATAGCCCCAACTCCTTGGTCAGCAACACACAATAGCCCTGCCTCCCTATTCAACCGTATGGAATAAACTTGTTAAGCTTCCGGGGTGCTGTGGTTTCTCCATCGGAGAGTGAGTCCACCCGATCCAGCTTTGCTGTGTGTTCGTGTGTTTGTCTCTTCTTCATTCTCCCACCACCCCAGTCAGGTCTGTCCCTGGAACCACGATAAACACAGCAGATGCCCTGGAACTGGAGTTACAGTGTGCTGTGAGAGGTCCTGTAGGTGCTGGGGATTGAACCTGGGTCCGAGGCAAGAGCAAGTGCTGTAAACTGCTGAGTCATCTGTCTACCTCACCCCACCCCGGGCGGTAAAAGCCCACCGTGTGCTCATGCTATTAGGGGTCTCACTCCTAGAAATACATCTCCCTCTTCATCAGGCCACTCGGCAAGGATGCCAGTTTTCTGACTGAACCTCATTCAATGCACAAAGCTTTGCTCTTCAAATAAGCCTCACAGGACTGCAGGACCTGACATGTCCGTGCCCCCCCTAAACCCCACACTGCGGGTTGCTGCCCTGTCTACCGCTGCAGGCTCTGCTCCCCGCGCACAGCCCTTCAAGGACTCAGTGAACGCTCACTGAAGGGCAAGGAATGCAGTGTCGAGAGAACCAGCCAGATCCTGTGGGTTCACATTCGATGGGACCAAATGAAACTTAAGGGAAGACTTTCTAGAAGGTCCTACCATCTCCAGTCTCTGGGTCAATTTCCGTCTTTCTCCCTCCTTAGCCCCTTCCAATTCCGCGGCTCTCTGTCGCACGCACGCACGCACGCACGCACGCACGCACGCACGCACGCACGCACGCACGCACGCACGCACGCACGCACGCACGCACGCGCCTCTTCCTGAACAGGCCTGGCGGGACAACAGCAGCACTCAAGGCTTTTCTGCGTCTTCTGCACCACGCTCAACACGCGCCCTGTCCCATTCCCCTTAGGATGTTGCTCCAAAGAATGGGGTCCTCAGGCCACAGTCCTCTGCTTCCCACGTCCCCATTGCTTAAACATATCCCCTAAAGGCATGCGTTAGAAACTCAACCCTCAAACTCATGGGTTCGTGGTACTGAAAACTATTTGGGAGACAATTAGGATTAGATGATATCATGAAATTAGGGCCTCCCTGACGGCAACAGTAGCTTTGTGCTTCACAAGAGGAGGACACACTCATTCTGTCTCTCCATCTGGTGCCCTCCGCCATCTTATGCTACAGGAAGAAGGCAGATTCAAAGCAGACACCAGCATTGTGTTCTTGAATTTTCCAGCCTCAGAACCATGACTAAACAAACCGTGTGTGTGTGTGTGTGTGTGTGTGTGTGTGTGTGTGTGTGTGTGTGTGTGTGTGTGTGTAGGGCAGAAGTTTCTGTCCCACCAGCAACTTCTAAACACCCAGCAGCCGCTGTAAAAAATTATTTTTGTCATGCTGTATATATGTTGCTACTTCTGTTTGGGATATTTTTGTATGTTGATGCAAATTAAGGTTATTTTTGTCATATTGCATTTTACATTCCTACCTCTGGTTAAGATTTTTTGTATATTGTCACAATTTCGAGGTTGTCCTTATACTGCACATATGTTTCTATATTACATAAGGTATGACCTCTACAGCTTGTTTATTTTTATAGATGAAGCTTTAGTCCTTAAGGTATATAGATTGATAAGAATTACAGGTTAATAGTCACCCATGTTTGTCAAACTCATTGTCATGTTAGTTAGGGTTTCTGGATGTGCAAAGATATGTTCCAAATAGATAGGTGATCTTCAAGCATTTCAAAGATGTACAGAATATGGCATTTATAATGTTTTACTAACTTAGAATTCTTTTAACATGAGACACATCTGTTTCTGGCAACACTGATCTACTCTAGAGAGAATGATAGGCATCAAAGACATTCTATATGGAGTTTGTTTTCCTTTTGGCAAAACTTCCTACTGGGCAAGAAACTGCCCTTGCCTCGACTGCTGACAGTAAGCACAATGTCCAATCTGGACAAGCAGAACACAAGGAAAAGCGACTTTGGCCAAACTTTGACAAGACAAGGTAGGACAAACCTTCAAATTATCCTGCTTCTGAAAAGGGTCTGTCAGATATTCTATGCCTGTAAGCCAAAGTTGGATACCCCAATGTTACAGAGAAACCTTGGGTGACTGTCCAGGCAGCCAGCTGTTTCTGTCATTTCTCACATTTTTTGGAAATTACTTGCAATGCACTTATTTACTCAGGTAATATTATATATTTCTGGGGTCTTTGATGGAGTTGAAGATTAGATATTGTTATAGTTTTCCTTAGTTATAATAAAAGGTAAATTAAACATGAAACTTTAGACTCACAAAGATAGGATAGATAAGAGACTCTTTAATTTTGCCAAATACAAATAGACTGGATATTATAACTGATTCTTACTTGATAACTGTTTTCATTGTATATAATTTTACTATGTTAAAATTAAAAACTTTCCTTTTTGATTAGACAGAAAGGGGGAAATGCTGTGGGATATCCTTCTGTACACCATGAATGTGTGTTACTATGATTGATTGATAATAAAGCAGTTTTGGCCTATTGCAAGGCAAAATAAGGTTGGAGGGGTGGAATCAAACTGAGTTCTCAGAGGAAGGAGGGCAGAGAGAGGCAAGCAGCTGCCCAAGGAGAAAGATGCCAAAGGAGTGATAAGCCATGGGACAATACATAGATGGATAGAAATAGGTTAATTTAAATGCAAGAGCTAGTTACCAATAAGCCTGAACCATTGGCCAAGCATTTATAATTAATATAAACCTCAGACTGATTGTTTGGAAACAGCTGCAGGATGGTGTGGGACGGAGAAACTCTTTTACATATATACATGGGGGCGTGTTTTGGTGTTTTGACTGAATGTCTATCTGTGCATTGTGTGCATATCTAATGCCTGCAGAGACCAGAAAGGCATCAGATCCCCTGGAACTGGAGTTACAGACAGCTGTGATATGCTATGTGGGTGCTGAGAATCAAACCCAGGTCTTCTTGAAGAGCAGCTAGTGCTCTTAACTGCTGAGCCATCTCTCCAGCCCCAGAGCATTTTAAAATAAGCCCAGTTTCTGCTAAAAGAAGACAAGACTACATTAGTTTATCACTGCTATTGCAAACAAACAAACAAAAACAAAAATTCACTCCATAATTTAGTGGTTTAAAACAACCACTTATTTGTGAAGAACTCCAGTGTTTGTTTGTCATCTGGGGCCTCACAGGGCCTTCATCTGAAGGCTTGACGGTCACTGCGTGGCCCATGGCAGCCTCACTTGTGCCTGACGCACTCGGCTGTTGGTCAGGGGCCTCAGTTGTCCTCTGTGTGGAACCTCAAGCCCGACAACTTACATGTCCTAAGTAGCAAAGTAAAGAGGGGTGAGTCCCAACACACTGGCATTGCTCAGTTTATAGCACTGGTATATGTTAAAGGTTTGATCCCCAGAGTAGAGAGAGGTGAGGGGTGTCCCATAAGCACCTTGGACCAAGCCCTTTATCAATGGGACTCCAGGACTCTGGCGTGTGTCTCTGTCCCCACACCCACCTTGCTTTCTGGCCATAAGGTAAACATTCTCCTCACCATCCGGCACCACAACAGGCCTGAAAGCAAGTCCATCTGATCATAGACTGAAAACCTTTAGAGGGACATGAACCAAAATAAACCTTTTCTTTTGATAAGTTAATTCTCTCAAGTATTTTGCTCTAGTGATAGTTAGCGCAGGTTAAAATGCCAAGCTCCTGCTGACTTCCTGTTTGCTAAAACAACACACACAGCTGAGCCCTGAAGCCAGGTAAGAGGAGAGTACCAGGATGTGTGTACCTGGAGATAAGGTTTATTACGACTAGGCAACGATCTACTATAAGGACATACTGTCTGTGGTATTTAATCACGACTGTCAACTTGAATAGACTCAGAATCGCCTAGAGGACAAACCTCCCGGGGTGTGTCTGTGAGGGCATTTCTAGGGATCTTAACTGGGGTGGGAAGAACCACCCTGAACAAGGGTAGCCCCCTCCCGTGGGCTGGAGGTCCATACGCAATAAAAAGGAAAAAGGGCTGAGGACCAGCAGCCGTTGCTCTCTGTTTCCTGAGTGGACACAACATGGCAAGTAGCCACACTCCTACCGCCATTACCGTTCTTTCCTGCTGTGGTGGACTGTGCCCTTATACCACGAGCTGAAATAAACCCTCCATTCCTTGCTTTTATCAGGTATTTGCTTACGACAATCAGAAAAATAGCTGATGCGTGATCAGAAACTCTTTTTGAGATGGAATAAACGTGGCTTGGTGAAACCATCTGGGTAGCCTCCTCATAAACCACCGTGGCCCTTACCAGAGCCTCCTCGCTGCCCAGCCCCGTGGCAGGCCTTGGGAACAGTGCTCAGTCATGGCCTCACTCTTTCAGCTGAGCCAGAGCTAACAGTGACTCTTATCCACACAGCATGACAGATGGCCTCCTCCTTACTGGTCAGGGATGCTGCATGTGACAGAAGCTACTTGCCTTCACTCGGCCAAGGGCTTTATTGGCAGAGCGGCTGGTGATACCTTGTCCCTAATCCTTAAGTCATGCTTTCCCGGTGTCACCTAATTGTTTTTTCTTACGCCAGGCAATCAGTCTCCCAGGACAAAGCTCTTGCACCTCTGCTTTATGACCAAAAGCGAAACAGAAAAAAGAGACCAGGGTCCTCCAGTCCCCTACAGTGACCTGTGGATCTCTGTCACTATGCTTTATCTCCCATTAGCACCACACCCTGGAGACAAAGTCTTGAACGCATGGTCTGCATGTGAGGACCACAGGCTATCAGTTTGGACCAAGCCTAACCCGCCCTGGCTTTCTGAATACTTCAGAGTTCACCCCTACCTATGTCTCCACCCCCAGTCCCATGGATCCTTAGGCTCTACCTGCAGCACCACCTAGTCTAGGGCCTGACCAAGGATATCCTGCAGGCTCCAAGTCTCCCTTCTCCATAGCCAATGAGGAGCAGGCTAGGAAGCACAACTAAGGTCCCCACAAATCCCTTGCAGAAAGAGCCTCAGGGCCCAGGCAGAGAACCTGACTATCATTCAATGAAACCCTGAGGCCCAGACCTCGGAATGCCCTACCATCTGAGGTGGGGTCTTCTACAAACCAGATGGATCCTATTTGCAAGTCTTCCAATGACATAATTCTCCCAAGCTGGAAATAGTCTACACTTTGATGTAATGGTGGTTATATAACTATATTATCTTTGTCAAAATCCATGGAACTGAATACCTGGAAAGCTTTCACCTCATGTGACTTACACCTCAATAAACAGAAGTTTCCAGGAGCCACCCCAGCAGGGAACCTCACCTGATTACCCAGCACTATGCCCACCTGCTAGCAGGTCCCCAGTGTGCTTCAAATAGTAATGATGAAACCTAACACTGAACGCACACAATTGTGTTCAGGGCAAGTTCTTGGCGTGTTTGACCACCTCAGCTCTCAGGACCATCCTGGGAAGTGTCAGAACTAGTTTTCAGCTGACATAACAGGTTCAGAGAGGTTGCACACCTCACTCACAGAACTCAAGCAGGACTTCTTAATGTCACGTCTGCCTCCCCCCACCAAATGCCCACAGTAGCTGCTGAATGGTGTGTTAGGTACTTCTTACACATGAGGCCCAGAGACACCAACTGATGTGCCTAAGCCAGTAAAAAGTGACTCCAAGATTCAAAGCAAGCACTGTCTGATTCTGAAGCTCCCTCTGCTCATGAAGGCCCTGGGTCCCTCCCACCCCATCCTCAAGGATGGCCTGACTCTGAAGACTCTGCTTTCTAACTCCGCTCATCCAGTTCCCCTGGCCAAGACTACCAGCAGCAAAGCCCAGGGAAGAAATCGGTCTTCAAAGCATCTTGCTAAGTCTGAGACAGACGCCCCAAGGCCGTGGGTAAGGGCCTTTCCAGAGCATCCACGCAGTGCTGGGGACACACCTGACTTCCCTAGCTGGGGTCAGCATGACTCTCCTCCAACTCCTGAGTTCTCCCAGCATTTCCCGGGGGAAGTGGAGGTGGGGGGGTTAAGGAAACTGCACCTGGGTGAGACCCACTCCTCAGCACAGCCTGGTTCCCAGGGTCTGTTCCAGTGTCCTGCCGTGTGGGCCTTTGTCGACTCAGCCAGGGATACATCCTTAACATGCCTCCCACAGATAACCACTCAAGCCCCCCACGGAGGGCCCTTAAGTCCGTCCTTGACTTTAAACAGAACTGGCGCTGGAGCGGATACAGTGGATGATGTATTTGGCATCATTCGACGAGCATCGTGTCCCTTCTGCTGGGCTCTGACAGCTAGCCAGGGAGACCGCAGCTTGACCTGGTGCCTAGAGTCCCCTCGAATGGGCCCACTGGCCAGTGCCATGTTCACAGACTAGGAGGGCCCAGCCTGCATCAGGAAAATAGCCTTGGATCCGCCCTTTTTTCTCACTGGAAGGACCCAGTGGCCATTTACCCTGTGCAGCATGAAATACTTGGAGGAGGAAAAATAATTTTCTCCAAAAAAGAACGGAAGAAAATATCTCCAACAGACTGCGGAACCATCCTCTGTATGTGCAGCCCTGGACTTGGTACTACGTCCTGTACTAGATGGCTCGGCTATCAGAGCTGGAAGTGTGGAGCGGATACCACGCTCTAGTCAACAAAAGATGCATCCACTCATTCTCTGCTCCCAACAGATGACTTTATCCTCCAGCCAGATTTGACTGTTCCGGGAGCCTGAACACAGGCATCACCTCTGGAAATCTGGACTTGGGAAGACAGACAGTCAGATGAATAACAGACAACAGCCCTTAGAGTAACCAATATTGTCAACTTCAGCATGGGCACTGTGGTAGCCACACTGACCCTGCAGATACGGACTACACACCATGGGCCTGCAGGAAGGCAGGAAAAGTACTACACAGACCTGACCTGGCACGTGAGTACCACTCCAGGATCTATACCTTAAAGTCACCTTTTTTGCTTCCTCAAGCAAAAGGGTTTGTTGCCTACACCTAATGCACTAATGACTGGCCTTTTACCCAAGACATTGTGTGAACCAGGCCAAAAAAAAAAAAAAAAGAAAAAAGAAAAGAGGCAGCCACCAAGGCCAAGTGAGAGGCTACAATATCCACGGTTCCGACATTAAGGAGTCTTATTCATGGCAATTTGATTTGACACCTCACTCCTCCAAATCAAGCTTTTTCTTGGAACACTGTTTGATAACGTAATCCCTGCAGGGAGAGACACATCGTTCATCTATTAGGAGCACCAAAGCTTAGGTCTTGTGCTGTCCATGGTGGCCGGACGCCCATGTGGCAGAAGGCCTTGGGGCCATACCCCAGCTGAAAGTCTGACGAGGGGGCCAGCAGAATGGGCTCTAAGCTCGGTGCTGCATGCATTCCTAAGTGGTCTGTTCCCATCCCGAGCTCAGTCTGCCCAGCTGGGGAATGGGAGATAAGACCCAGCCTGAAGTTTGATGATCTGGGTCTCTGGTGTTTATCACAAGTTCTGTTTTCTGACAGTAACTTCCATCTGCACTTAGGGACCAGGACACCTTACATTTGTGACATCCAGCTAGCAGAGATGGCCCCTCATGACCAATGAGAAAAGGAAAAGAAAGGAAGTGGCCAGTGGAAGTTATCCTTCAGAGCAATCAGACACAGAGAGGCCAGCAGGAGGCCACAGGGTCAGCCTGGAGCTCAGATGCCCACATCTGGCATCCCAGAGGGGACCAAGTATCTGAGCATAAGAACCATTGTCCTTCATTACAGAGAAGCCAGGGGGACCTTAGGGGACAGAGAGGGCCACAAAGATTGACTTTCATTACCAGTTCCTAGGCAGCAAAGGGAGCTGGCAAAATCCACCTTCCTCTCAGATCCTAGCGTGTTCAGCAGGGAGCAGAGGATGATGAATCAAGAATCCACAGAACTTACAACCTGTCAGATGAAGGATGCTACACGGCCAGATCTTATAAGGGCAGGACGGTAATCTACCACCACCCTGTGCTGTGGATGATTCATTGATTGATAAATAAAACACTGATTGGCCAGTAGCCAGGCAGGAAGTATAGGCGGGACAAGGAGAGAGGAGAATTCTGGGAAGTGGAAGGCTGAGGCAAAAAGACCCTGCCAGCCACTGCCGCCATGACAAACAAGATGTAAGGTACCGGTAAGTCACAAACCACATGGCAAAGTATAGACTAATAGAAATGGGTTAATTTAAGATAGAACTAGATAACAAGAAGCCTGCCATGGCCATACAGTTTGTAAGCAATATCAGTCTCTGTGTTTACTTGATTGGGTCTGAGCCGCTGTGGGACTGGCGGGTGAGAGAGATTTGTACTGACCGTGGGCCAGGCAGGACCAGGAAAACTCCAGCTACAACCCTGCTTGGACTTCTGCTTCTAGGTATGGAAACCAGAACCCTGCAGTCACAACTGCCCAATCCACTCTGTCTGGAAACGCCCAGGAAGCGAAGCAGTCTTCAAAGTTCGGTGTGTAAACCCAGAGATGAAGCAAAACGAGAGCAGACAAGAGCTCCACCTCCCTGTTGGAGGAAATATGTTTAGGTAGACATTCATCCCCATGTGAATATAAACATTTCTAATATGATATTGTCTCTTTTCCTAGAAGTCTTCACATTCTGCAAAATCACTCTCTGAAAAAAAACACAGGATTCATGAAGGGAAGCAGAGCTGGGACACTTTTCTCAACACCTTTGTAACCTTGTTACCAGAATCTCCCCCAACAGCCAAGCCTATAATGAGGACCCAGAACAGCAAATCAAAAATTATCCCAGCTGCTATTCAGAGATGGAGCAACTATGGCCCTTGATGCTTAGGTGAGCATTTTCATTCCTGTTCATGTTAAACACCTACCCAGCTTAACTGTTGGCTACTGATAGATTCTGAGGGAGGGGAAAACATTGTCTTCAGTTGTATGCCAAGTGGTGAGTCTACCAGCCTCCAAGGGATAGTTTCAAACCTGTTGCCACATCGACCATCAGTAGATTGGTAACAAAACAAAAAGACTGGAATGTAGAAGGGACCTGTTGGGAGGAGAGTGTGCATAAGAGAGACAGGACGGAGAAAAGAGAAGGTGAGAGTATTCACGTGTGAAACTGCCAGGGAACAAATTTAATCAACACAAAACCATTTTTGAAGCCTACCCACTATTTTCTTATAGGGACAACATCTCTGTAGCTCCTTTGGTGCCTTCTGGACTTCTGCTTTAATGGCATGGAAGCCGCTAAGACAGCCAGAACTTGCACACAAATTTGGTGCATCCGTAACATTTCCAGCTTTCTCTTACTACTTCCTCATCTGTTCCTCTTTACTCATAAGGAAGTTTATCCCAACCTATCAAAACCACCAACGAGCCTGCATGACTTTCCCAGGACCAACGGCATCCCTCTGTCATCCCTCTGTCCATCACACAGACCTAGGCTGCAGCCAGTGCCTCCAAGTGTCAGATTGCTGCGGAGCACTCCAGTCTTGCCAAGGGAGGAACTCTGGCCTGCAAGCTGTTGCGACAAACAACTGTTTTAAAGGTTGGGCTTTCAACATTTTAGTCCAGCTGACTCTGTTAGAGGAAAAACTCACACATTATTTGTAGCAATTCCCCTTCGAGGTAGTTTATGCCCTCCATTGCAACCCCTTGTAAATTGCGCTAGACTTCAGAAATACAGCTCAGATGATTCTCTGCCTCTAAGGAAGTCTTGGGGGAGGCTTGGAACCCCATCTTGTCCTCTCACTGGCCCGAGACCATCATATTACAAGCTGAAGCTGGCCTCCTGGAACAGAAGATCCTGGCTCAGAGCCAGCACTGTTCCCATATTCTTTCACTGTCCAGTGCAGTACAGCCATGAATGAGCACAAACACCTGCCCACGAAAACGGCCAGCAGAACAAAAACAGTTGCTTTAACCCACCAAAGATTGTCTGAGCTAATATAATGAGACATCTTTGTAGATGTTTCACTAGTTCTTTGATACTTTGATAGTTTTTCCCTGCCTGGGAGTCGATAGATCTTTATTTGGATCTTTATTTAGCATGGGCCTCTGAAAGGAGGCTGACTCACCCTGAAAATGGCCATGACAGGTCTAAGGAACCTGTCAAGATTGAATCATGCCAAAGGTAATACTCCAAGAAGGAACTTTCCAACATCCAAACAGGTCTCAAGAAAGACAGACCTTCGACTAACAGTCCCCAGTCCATGGAGACCTCCTCTACTTTCCTGGCTAAGACCTCACCATCCACAGTGTATCATGTCCCAATTCCCAGGACCTATGAATGTATGACATTCTATAATCAAAAAGGAATTCTTCAGGTGACTGCAATAAGGATCTTAAGACAAAGACCTCTATGGTCCAGGTGCACTTTACAAGATATCCTTATGCTAGTGTCCTTATGGAGGTGAAGACGGAGTGGAGACATCACAATGGAGTCAGAGCTGGGAGCGATGGACTCTGCAGATGGAAGAAGCAGTCTTGAGTCAAGAATGCAGGTGACTTCCAGAAGAGTAAGAATGTAGGAGACAGATGGACGCTTCAGACGGGACCCAGCTAGGCCAACACCTCAGTGAGACCCATCTTAGGGCGCATGTCTAACTTCCAGGAACCAAAGATAAGAAATTTGGGCTCTTGGGCTGTGATACAGCTCAGCTGGTGGAGTTTTGCCTGGCATGCCTGAGGCCCTGGGTTCAATATCTAGCACCACATAAGCTAGGTATCCTGGCATGTGTTAGTAATCTCAGCATTTGTAAGATGAAGTCAACCAGATCAAGAGTTTAAGACCAACCTGAGCTACATAGTGAGTTTGAGGCTAGCCTGAGCTGCAGGATACTCAAAAATAACAACAATAAATCATTATCATCATCATCATCACCTTTGGGCTGGTTTTTGATCACTACAGTTGTAGTCCTTTTTATGATGCCTTGGCTTCTCCCTGCCTACAAGAACAATCTTTGGAGGTCCATTTGCAATAACACTAGCAGTCAGTCAATAATGCAATTGTCAACACTAAATCTGTGCCTCTTCCATGATCAGACTTGTCCTATGTGCTTTCCTTGAATAAACTCTGCTCACAAAAACCTATGAAGAAGGCACTATTATAATCCACATTTTTAAAAGATTTGTTTTATTATTGATTTATGTGTACATGCGCATGTCCCTGTGTGGGTTTGCACACACAGGTGCCTGCAGCAGACAGAAGACAGTGTCAAATTTCCTGGAGCTGGAGCTACAGGCAGTTGTGGGTCCCATGAACCAAACTTGGGTCCTCTGGGAGAACAGCACACACTCTTAACCACTGAGCTACCTCTCCAACCCCCATAACCCTCATTTTGTAGATGAAAAAGGAAAGACTTTAAGAAGATAGGTACCTTTTCAGAATCACAGGACATGAAACAATATAATATGAATGGATTCAAACCCAGGTGCCTGTTCCCAGATCCCATGTCCTCACCAAGAACCCAGTGACACCACTAATAAAGTCGCTGTCACTTAGGATGGCCTCTGTATAGCAGGCTCACGCCAAGCCCTTTACAAATATCCTCTCTCATCACCCAGAAGCAGCAACATCAAACCCCGAGGTCAAATCCATCGAACCCACAAGGGTGGGTTTCGGCCAACCCTCCTGCCTGCCTTGTCACACCCAGAGGGGACAAAGATGAGGAATACAAACAGATGATTCATCTTCTCAACAGAGACACTTAGAAAGTGAAAGGAGTTGCTATTAGTAATTAGGGATTCATGTTTAGAACCATCCCAGCAACGCTGGACACGTGGACATGCTAAAGATAAGGGCAGTAAGAACAAGATCTGGCCTGTGGGCAGCTCAGGGTTTCCCAAATGGGTGTCTGGGAGCAGCTGCTGTGCCAAGGGACTTCCTCAGTCGTTAGGTCCCAGTCAAGGCTGGTTTACAGAAGACCAGCCTACAAAGCCCCAGGTCTGGAGCTCAGCACTGTGGGTGGAGCCCGCCTAGGGTGGAGGAGTTCTTCTGAGGTCAGAGGCTAGGCAGTGCTGGATAGAGTCCAGGGATGCAAAGACTTTGAACCCCACTGGCTGCCTGTTCAGAATAGCCAGTGAGGAGCTGGGAGCCATGGCAAATGGCCCAGTGAGCAAGCAGCCTGAGACCTCCTAGGTTCTGGGTCTGCTGGACAAGACTCTGCACAGCCCTTGCCTACCTCTGCCTAGCTGTGGAGGTCTCAGGCTAGCCTTTCTCCACTCTGAGCCTCCTGGACAAAATACAGCTGCTGATGGCTGCTCTGCTGCTTCCACAGGATTCAGGACAGTAAGCAACGATGGCCGATAACAACAAACATGGACCATACTCAGCACTTACTGACAAGGGTTATGGGAAAGAGTAAAATCCAGCGTGAGATACGTAGTGTGAATATTTTCATTTTACAGATGAGGAAACAGGTAGGGATAAGGAAGATTCCCAAAGCTAGTCAGTGGGTGTCCAGGCTGGCCTCTGAGCTCACAATTCTTTATAATCTTTTGGAACACTTTTGTTTTCTACTCTGCCTCCACAGAGCTGGCCACCTTCATGCAGGGTCACCATTAGGGGCCTCAGCCCTCTCAGTGAGCAGAGGACTGGCAGTACACGGCCACATCTCACACCAGTTCCACCAGGTTTTAAGCTTCAGTGGTGAGTTTTGCAAATACGTGGTCCCAGGCCTCATTTCCTGGAGGGACCATTGTGGGAATAGAAATTACAACACCAGCGTCATCAGCAACATCCATCCATCCATCACAGAGAATGTCTCCATCTGCTGCTCTGACCTACTTCACTATAAAACTCTCCAGGCTCTTTACAGCCTAGACATAAAGCCTTCTGTGGGCAGGATCATCTACAGGAAGTATAATAACCTGATTTTAGACATGCATGCTTCATGCTGTGAGCACCTGCTGTTTATGGCAAAGGACACAGATTTTTCTGTTTGTAAAATTGACATAGTCTTCCCAAAATAATGGCATATTTTTTAAACAGTGGGTTGACTTTTAAAAGAAGCTATATATCATTATTGTGGCATGGAGGTATCCATACATCCACTGGAGTCAGTTTTCGGGGGATATGGCATGCTGTCTTCTGTCTTAACATCACCCCTAGAGATCCTGACACCCTAGGACCTGAACTTAACTCTCCCAGCCTCAGGGTCTCCCACTGTAGAGTCACACATTTTATGGGCTATTGGTGAGGACCGAATAAGATAATTTAAGAGCCAACAGGATGCTGCCTGTGGCCCCAGCTACAAGCCCAGGAATCCAAGGCTGGCAGGGACTGTACACCGAGATCCTCTCTCAAACCCGAAGAAGTTAAAGGCACAGGGGAAGCCTTGGCCTGGACCTGTCACTCAAGAGAGGCATGCTGGCTCAGAAGGCATGGGGCCAGGGGTGGCTAACCTGTTGCTACTCCCAGCCCCCACACTACATGATCAGGTCCCTTATCTGTTGGAACACAAACTATCCTCCACAGGCTCCTGTAGAGGGGGGCGGAGGGAGACTGGGGCACCAGCTCTGGGGAAGTGACTGGATCCTGAGGGTTCTGATAAGCAATGGATTCATCCCTTAATGGATTCATAATTTGAAGAGACTGGTGGGCGGGGCCTCGTTGGAGGAAGAAAGCCAATGAAGGCCTGCCTTTGAAGGGAGATAGCTCTTCCTCACCCTTCCTGTCTGACTCTGTCTCTCCGCTTCCCCACCGGCTGCCATGAGCTGCTTTGCTCTTGTGCATGGTACCTGCTGCAGGTTTCTACTCCACCACAAGCTGAGAGCCAGAGGCCACGCAATGAAATTCCTGAAGCATTTGGCTAAAAGAACAAGTCCTCCCTTTAGGTCATTTGTCGGGTGCTTGTCACAACATGGAAAATGGGACTAACACAGGTCTGGAGTCTGACACCAGTTGTGTGGGCCTCCCTGGTTGGTGGCAACAGCAGATGTCTACTAGAAGAGGTCTGGCTGTACCAGCTCTGGAGAGGACTCAGCCTTGGCACCATGTCTAGGTGACTCCAACAGTAAAATCAGCCTGAAGGACATCTAGTGAGCACAGAGTGACTCCTGCTCTCAGTCCCCAGGGCAACCCTGCAGCAGACATCATCCTCACCCCCACCATGGAATATACAGGGATAGGGAAAGAGCCTTGAGGGAATACCCATGTCACTCCCAAGGGGCTGGCTTCTAAAAGGGAAGAACCTCAGGTCTAAAGGACCAAAACAGGTCTCCACATAGCCCCAGTGCAAGGGGGAAAAACCCAAACAAAACAGAACAGCTTGACCCACCACCACAGCTCAGAAGGAAACTGAAATCCTGATGGGCAGAGGCAGGAAGGCAGCAAAGAATTCATTCAGTGAGTGACAACGCCATTTCCTGCCCATCCCTTATCTCTGGCTGTTTCCAAC